GAGAGAGAGAGAGAGAGAGAGAGAGAGAGAGAGAGAGAGAGAGAGAGAGAGAGAGAGAGAGAGAGAGGGAGGGGGGGGGTTGCGTGTTCGGGTGGTATCTGAGAACATAAACACACACCATCTGATGGATAGTGGAAGCAGGCTTGCATGTGTGTGTGTGTGTGTGTGTGTGTGTGTGCGTGCGTGTGTGTGTGTGTGTGTGAGAGAGAGAGAGAGAGAGAGAGAGAGGTTGCATTTGAGTTGGCAACGCTTGCTGATGGTGCTTTACTGTGACTTTCGAGTTGTCTTTTTATGGTAAAGTTCCGTAGGAGACAGCAAGACTGTGATGAAATTTACGAATTGGTGTTTGGCATTCAATTTTCTGTGATGGCAGGTTTGGTAAATTGACCGATGTATTTCTTCCGAAGCCTCACAGAGGCTATGCGTTTATTACATTTGAATCAGGCCAAGCCTGCAAAGCGGCGTTAGAGGTCTGTGCAGGAGCTTGTTTCGACACATGTACTTCAAAATTATCTGCCCTTGTTTTATCCAACTGCCCAATCAACCGTTCATACTCAATTGCTGCCATTCTTTCAGTGTTTGTTTACTTGATGCACGGATCTGGCGCAAAAGTTGTAGACACTCTGTGGTATCACCTGCCCTGGTTTCATGAAGCCGGCTGACCAACATACTGCTGCATGTTGTGTGTGTGTGTGTGTGTGTGTGTGTGTGTGTGTGTGTGTGTGTGTGTGTGCGTGCGTGCATGTGTGTGTTCGAGTGCACAATGTTATTATGTGGAGGCCAATTCAGCATGTTCTTGGCTACTTCCGACTATATGCTGTTGCTACTCGCACATGGACTTCCTCACCAAGCGTAGTTTTCCTTCTATTCTTTCCACCTCTGTGCCATTGCCGACCTCCCTCTGCTTTTTTAGCAATGGTGCTTTGCTTCTTCCTTTGACTTTCTCATTCCGTTTTTTTTAACGCTGTGGCGAGCGGAATGTTGAGGGCATTACTGACACACAAATTAATTCAACTGAATATGGTCTAAACAACTGGCCAGAATCGTCCATGATTATCTTTCTACAACTGCGCTGGTGCTGTGTCTGCTAGCATTTCTGTTGGACCATTTGGCTGTTTCTTGTATTCCTTTGACCGTCACACTTAAAAGTTAATTCCACTGAATGTAGTCTGAGTAACAGGCCAGGTACATCACATATTATCTTACTGTGAGCGTGGCGGTACCGTCTTTTCCATCTTTTCCTTTGCACAATTCAACCCTCTTTTATTTCTTGAAACTGCCCCACCCTTTTAGCTTCAGGTCTGTCTCGGGAGCCTCATGTTTTTTCATCTGCATGCATTGACTACGCAGACGGGTATCCTCTGTCAATTAAACTGTGAGAGTTCACACGAGCCTAAATTGACGAAGCCAGCTTCCAAGGCTCGCAAGCGTGCAACTGGGCCTTTTCAAAGTTGCCTGCCGCTTTTGCTACCAGCCTAGGTCCAAATCGAAATGCTCGTATTGCGTAAATCGGGAAGAGCAGTATCCTGCTTCCAGTGAACTGTTGGCTTCAGCTTCTTTGTTGCTATCACCACTCAGCGATCGAAAATCCTCTTCAATTTGTGCCCGGCTTTGGATTACACTAACCGACACTGAGTCTGCCATCAGCAACTCACGCCTCATCTCCATTCTGCGGAAACACGATACACCCTCATCATGACTGTGAAAACAAGCTATCTTTGCGGTCTGTTAGACTTGTTGTTGTTGTTGTTGTTGTGATTATCGCTACTCGGCAATTGAAAACACCGATCCTCTTCAATTTGTGTCCTGTTTTGGATTACGCTGGGTAAGCTCAGTGTGGCATCAGCAATCACCATTGCACTGCCTGTTGTAGGCTCATCTCCATTCCCTGGAATGCAACACACCCTGATCATGCATGGATGTAAAGACAAGCTATCTTTGCAGTTTGATACAGTCTGACCAGGGCGTGCTGTGTTCGGGGACTGTTGACGGCAGGGTCATTGGAGTACAGGGGACGATGACAGTGGGGTCATCTCTGAGTGATTGGTATCATCGCACATTGCCTGTAATTTCACAAAGGAGGTTTGGTTTTGGCGAACTTCTGACAGCAGTCGGAAACCTGTGGGCGGGGATTGGAACGAAACAATGGAGCATGATGGCTCTTCTGGTTCCGGTGCCAAAACATTCTGCAAAGTCTACGACTCTGGGTTTATTCCATGGTGTCATCTCTGATAAAATAAACGCCTGTTCTCGCGTGCCACTTGGCGTACTGGTGTCGGATTAGCAGGGTGTTATGCATTATCATGGCCTACATTGTCTTGACTGGTCACGGAGTCGAATAGTACTCTACGAAACTGTTTCCCGTTGTCGTTTCCTGAATGCCTGTGGCTGTTTTGTGCTGCGGTTTTCGGCTTGACATGTCATTTTTTGTTGTTTGTGTGGGATCCCTATTTGTCTTGCAGTCGACTAATCACGTATTGAATGGAGTACGGCTACAGGTGAAATTGCCAACACCTAAGCAGCCTCCCGCCATGAAGCCTCTGATCCAAGGGTAAGTGGATTCGTCCTTTTTGGTCATCTCGTCCTCTGGATCTCCAGCGATTCAAAATTAGGAAGTCACATGTCCCAGTGGCATTGCTGTCTAGTTCCACCTTCTTTTGTGTGCCTGGTATCGACGCCCTCGATTGTCCGATTGCAATCTACAGTGTTCTTCAGAAATGAACTGTAGATATAGTATCGACGTCCTCATCAGTCCGATTGCTTTCTGAAGTGCTCCTCAGAAATGAACTGCAGGTAAGATATCGACGCCCTCATCTGTACGATTGCTTTCTGCAGTGGTCTTCAGAAATAAACTGTAGAATCAATGTAGATATGGTATCGACACCCTCATCTGTACGATTGCTTTCTGCAGTGTTCTTCAGAAATGAACTGCCAACCAGGGCTGGTCCCCGGATGGACCGGGGACCCCTACCCCATCCGTGGTCCTTCCGGTTGGACCGGCCGGTGGCCCGGGCCGGTTCCCTCCCGGTTGCCCCCAGCGCATTTTCGCTGGGGGCTGAATTTTTTTTTTTTGTCGGCGCGTATGTGTTCCCAAGGCCTCGTGGGGGCGGGCCCTGCCCCGCAATTTCGAAACCGGGTCCTGTAGGCCCGGATTTTTCAATTACAGAAAGTGGCCAATCTTGGCCGCCGATAATCGCAGATCAGCGGCAAAGATCGGCCAGGACCCCATTTCTATAAGAAGAACGGGCAGAGGATATCCGCCGCTGATCTATGCAGATCAGCAGCGGAGAACAGCCATGCGTTTTTCCTAAGATGTGGGCCTATTTGTCATCTTGTGGTCCAATGGACCAGTTACCGTTGGCAACATCTGATGCTCTTTCACCCTCAGCCACGAGGGGAACACTATGCTTCTGATGAGACTCTGCTGAGATTATATCCTTCTGCGACGTCCCTGCCATCTGTGGAAAAAGTTATGGGTTCGGATTTTGGAATTGTGATTCAGAGCCGTCCGAGGTGCAATCCCAAGAATGGACCTTAAATATAGGCCGTTGCTGCACTACTCTCGACATGCACAAAAGACAAAAATCTTGGCGGTGTATCTTTCCGAATTCTAGCGGAAGATTCACTCTCGTTTTGCACATTTCGAGAGTAGTGCAGCGAGGCCCATATTCTTCTCTCTATCTATCT